CATATTACATTCCTTGCAAGGAACTTTATAAATGCAACCAATTGTGTTGTTGGGGGAGTTCTTGATTAACATTTGTTTAACAGTGCATGAGTTTTTAAATGCCACATTGACGTTCCAGGTTTTTAGCTGTGCAGGAATGTGTGAGAAATTTTTGTGAAATGGTAATATTAAGATATTCTTATGGTCATGGGTGGGCTTGGGGTCAGTTCTATAAAAAGTTTTCTTAGTAATGTTTAAGCATTTGTCTATGAAAGATCTAGGGTATTTTCAACAATGTTTTTACGTGCCTTGAGAATTTGCAGTCCGGAATTCATCGATGAGGAATACAAATATATATATAATATTGGCTCAAACCTTTAATACCCTAGATCTTTCATAGACAAATGCTTAAACATTACATGTAAATCCACAATGAAAACGTGGATAAGATAAATCTTGATAATCATCGGAGTATTTAGCTGCCTTTTATTCAAGACATCTTCAGAGGCAAATGAATAAAGACGGAAGCTAAGGTACTGCTGTTTCTATTTTCCTCAATTTATAAAATATATATATATATATATATATATATATATATATATATATATATATATATATATATATATATATATATATATATATATATATATATATATATATATATATATATATATATATATATATATATATATATATATATATATATATATACACACTGGCTCTCACGAAGGCCTTAGCTGCACACAGCCCATCTCCTGTGCATAACAGCTAATAGCCACGTCACTTGAGAATCAATCAGATCTTAAAGACGTTACATCAAAGCGAATCATGATTAATGCTACGAGTTCAACCAGATCCATATTATTCTGATATTGGAGTTAGAAATGTTGCCAACTAGGATTTAGTAAAGAAACCAACCATTTAGATAGTTTATAAGAGATTGACCCAACTGAGCTAATGATGTGTATGGTGTTGTGTATGCATCTATGTCCAAGCCTTGGGTTCCAAACTGTCCAGAATTCACCAAAACAATCCAAGCCCTAAGAAAAATAAGGATCTACATGTCACTAAAGCAGATAAAGAACACAGTAGTGATCTTAAACAAAGATGACTATATCTCTAAAATGAATGACCTTTTTGTGATACTACAACATATTCTAAACTCATAAATAATCCTCTTAACACTGTCAACACCGTTCAACAAAAAACTGAAGTCCTATTGAGAGGCAAAGCTACTCTCATTAAACATCTTACTTCAACGTCCCCTCCACTGCCATACATGTACGGTGTAATCAAGACCCACAAGCCTAATAACCCAGCAAGACCCATCATCATTAGCCTGTTAATAATCTCTATAAACTATCTAAATGGTTAGTTTCTTTACTAAATCCCCTAGTTGGCAACATTTCTAACTCCAATATCAAGAATAATATGAATCTGGTGATAAACTCAATAACTTACACATTAATCATGATTTTAAACTGGTCAGCTTTTGATGTAACGCCACTTTTACAAAGGTCCCAGTTGATGATTTACTAGGAGTCTCATAGATTCTGGATAACATTTCACTGCCCGCTTTAAAGACGACTTCATCTAACTCATCAAACTATGTATTAAGGATTGCAAATTCGAATTCAATGGGGAATATTATGCTCAAAAATTTGGTATGGCAATGGGTAATCCACTCTCACCTGTATTACAACCTATATATGAATTCTTGTAAAGAAACTATTAAGTAATATTTTACCACCCTCAGCAGTCTGGTTTAGATATGTTGATGATGTATTATGTCTCTGGCCATGTAATGAGGACCTAAAAGCTTCCTACCACCCTAACAACTTAGCCTCGATCAAATTCATCAGGAATTAGAGCAAGACTGTAAATTGCCATTCCTAGACTGTCTGATACACAGAATAGGTAACACTTTTAAGTTCAGTATTTATAGAAAACCAACTAATGTGTGTTCATACATTCATTATTATTCTGCCCACCATAATAAAGTCAAACAGTCAGTATTTTCAACAATGTTTTTACTTGCCTTGAGAATTTGCAGTCCGGAATTCATCGATGAGGAATACAAATATATATATATTATTGGCTCAAACCTTAAATACCCTAGATCTTTCATAGACAAATGCTTAAACATTACTAAGAAAACTTTTTATAGAACTGACCCCAAGCCCACCCATGACCATAAGAATATCTTAATATTACCATTTCACAAAAATTTCTCACACATTCCTGCACAGCTAAAAACCTGGAACGTCAATGTGGCATTTAAAAACTCATGCACTGTTAAACAAATGTTAATCAAGAATTCCCCCAACAACACAATTGGGTGCATTTATAAAGTTCCTTGCAAGGAATGTAATATGTTTTACTTAGGCCAGACAGGTAAAGATCTTGCAACTAGCATTAAACAACACAAATACAGTGTTAGGACAGGCCAGGAATCCAATGCTCTGTTTGTTCATTTGAGGGATAACAAGCATTGCATTGACTGGGATAATGCCTCCTCAATATTACCATGTAATTCAATTGATAGTAGGAACATCATAGAATCTAGTCTTAATAAACATACCGAAGCATTCAACATGAATTTGAGTAACGGCATGTACAAGCTGGACAATTTTGTAATTAAGAAGATTTGTGATCAGGTGAGAAGGCCGGGTCACTTGACCATCTGACTTGACCACCAACCGTTGTGTGCTATTTAAAGATTAGTAGGGTCATTACCTAATACCTGACCATTGTGGACCTGGTCTCACCCTCCTCTGTATATATACACCTTGATTTGTATTACTCTCTCTAGTCTGTACTCACCCCTGAAGATGTGAATTACACGAAAGCGCTTGGGAACTTCGTGTTTTCTTCTTTCCTTGTGGTTATCAGCATATATATATATATATATATATATATATATATATATATATATATATATATATATATATATATATATATATATATATATATATATATATATATATATATATATATATATATATATATTTTGCGCGAGTCAATCTGGCGCATCATATTTTAAAATTCGTTCCTATTGTTTCTCTGGGCACGCTACACTGTCCTAGGGGCAAAGCTGTACTGTACATGTACTCAAAATAATGTACTAAATGATTACTAAAATTTTTGTCTAGTGCAAACTATAGCATGATTATATTCATATTGATCATTATCTTATAAGAATTCCAGTAATGTAAATTATATTTCTCCAGTCACTTCTATGACATTTTATAAGCAAAAAACATAAACTCAAGCTAAAGGACATAAATAAACAAATAAATACTTCACTAGACCTTCAGCACCAGCTGTCAAACATGTCACTGTCACCCCCTCCTCCTCCTCCTCCTCCTCCTCCCCCTCCTCCCTCCTCCCTTCCCTCCCTCCTCCCTTCCTCCCTCCCTCCCTCCCTTCCTCCTCCTTCCTCCTTCCCCTCCCTCCTCCTCCCTCCTCCTCCTCCTCCTCCTCCTCCTCCTCCCTCCCTCCTTCCTCCTCCTCCCCTTCCTCCTCCCCCTCCCTCCCTCCCTCCCTCCCTCCCCCTTCCCTCCTCCTTCCCTCCCTCCCCTTCCCTCCTCCCTCCTCCTCCTCCCTCCTGCCCTCCTCCCCCCTCCTTCCTCCCCTTCCTCCTCCTCCTCCTCCTTCCCAGCCAGGGTTTGGTGGTTATAGGTTTACAGTTTTTATCTTATATAATATTACAGACTAAAGTTAGGAGAATATAATTTGCATTGCTAGAATCCTTGCAAGACAGCGAATAATTTTAATATAAACATCATATATTTTGCACAAGAGATAAAAATTTTAGCCCTTTGTAATAAAATTAATTAGAACATGTCAGTTGAGTGACATTTTAAAAGAGAAAAACTTAGTCACTCTTAAGGACAGATAAATAAATAAGCACTAGACCTTGGCATCAACTGTCAAACATAACACCTCACTTCCCCCCGTAACCCAATCTTCCCAGCCAGTAAACAGGCCATTTCACATCCCTTAATTTTAGCTGTGTTGATTTATGAGTGTTTATTTTAACATCATACTACAAAAAACAATGTTTTGTTTATTCAAGGAAATGGGTTGAAGTGCATCTGGGTAGACTGTTTTTTAGTATTTTGTGTTTCTCTCAAGTACCAAACTAAATTATTCCATTGAAACAACACTTCGATTTAGTGCGTTGGTTTAAAGCGGCCTCTCTTTGAACATATCTTGTGTTATATTGACGTTCTACTGTACTGTACATATATACAGTTAGAAAGAAGTGTATTAAAAATATTGAGTCTACCCTCAAGTGCACTCCATGCTTTGTTATTAATAAAGCACAGAGTGCACTTGAGGGTTGACCTTCACATTTTTAATATATTTTTTTTTTTTATTATAATTTGTGTGAGGATTTTCCCATTATTATTTATTTGTACAGTATGCATTTTGCGTGTGTGTTTGCACACACACACACACACACACACACACACACACACACACACACACACACACATACATATATATATATATATACAATACAGGTAAAGGAAATTACAGTCTCTAGAACAAATGGCTCCCTGTCCTGGCCACAAAAATGCCAGCAACTTTAAAACTACCCTTAGACATTGTTGGGTACATCCAGGGTGTCATCCGCGAATATTTGAGGACAGCGAAATAAACATCTGCGAATTATCCGGGCGTACTGTAGATGGTAACAGAATCATGTGTCAGTGCATGTGTGTTACTTTATTAATGTGAGGAAACATCATATTGTTCTTTTTTCTAATTTTATTTCTTATATGGGGTTAACTGCAGGTTAGTTTGAAGTGATATGAATGCTAAAGAAAGAGTAGCCATATTTATGTATTTATTCTATCCATGAAAGATATTTTTATAATGGTCAATTTAATCAGGGTGCAGAAATTATTGTATACACCCTGGTAAGTATAGGTATTTTAAACTGTATCTGATTTACAGATACTCTGTACTGTATAATGCTATCAAGGTTTCAGGTAGATATTTAATTTTCTCAATTTTAGGTTAAAGCTGTTCCTGCAAAGGTTGAAGAATTCCGTGCATCCCTACGAAAACTTGGAGATATATATGTCAATGATGCCTTTGGTACTGCCCATCGTGCTCACTCTTCCATGGTTGGTCAAGGATTTGATCAGCGAGCTTCAGGGTTCCTACTTAAGAAAGAGCTTTCATACTTTGCCAAGGCTTTGGAGGATCCTGAAAGGTGAGTTTGTAATATACTTTACTTTGTAGTTTAACAGTTTCTTTGATTGTGTGTGCATGTAACTGAATAAAAAAATAGAAGAGAATTACGTACAGTAAACCCTTGTTATTCGTGGGGGTTAGGTCCCAAGGAATGGCATGAATAGGCAAAACTGCGAAAAGCAACTAATACTACCTTAGTGCACTACTGTATACAGTACCTATACAAACAACCGACAAGCTGCGGCAACACTCATCTCTTCTTCTAACTTATCTAATCATTCAACTTACTTTTTTCAGGGTCGTCAGTGACTTATGCCTTTTACATTTCACTCCACTAGCATCACTAGCACTGACACTAGGCAGTCTTTTAGGGGCCATTTCACACAGAAACACTAAAGTTTTGAGAGTACGACACAAGATGGTGCGTGGGGTGACTCGTTGTGCTGCGGGAAAAGGCTTGCAAGCTAGCCACCATCTGTTTGCTGCGAATCGTCAAAATCGTGAATAGCAAGGGTCTACTGTACTGTATAACTCCCCGAAATTACAAGTTGAAAAATAACCTCAACTTCTCACAGCTCAGCCTGGTCGGAAGAGGGCTAGGAGTGTGTGGCTAATGATGAGTCTTAATGGGCAACAGATGTAAACAGATGCAAATGGAAGGAAAATTATCTGCAAATCTTCATTTACATCAGTTTTTGTAGATTTAAAGTGACATATACAGTGAGTGAGGTTCTGATCTTCATGTAGCAAAATTAAGAAAGAAACTAGGAGTATGGTTAGGAAGCCCAGGTTAAAAGAGGTCATTGCCGGGTAGCTATCATTCACTGTTGGGTGTAAAAACTGCAAAAATATATTACGCAAATTCAAGTAAAAGTTTTTGTCAAAAAGTTACTCAAGTACAAGTAAAAGTATCCATTCTAAATTTTACTTAACTTAAAGTAAAAGAGTATAAACTGAATGTTAAGTAACAAAAAGTACAAAGTACACTTACCTGCAGTTATTGAGGACAGTTTTTTGTGCCAGTGTATAGTTGTGATCATTATGGCATCCACAGCTCTAAATTTTGAGTTTAAAGCCAGCTCATACGGGAAGGAAAGAGTGTGGTAGTGATGTAGATGCTTTGTGTCATGACAATAACGAAGGTATGCTTGAGGCAAAGAAAGTTTATAATGAAAGGGATACCTGGAGGCATTTCTGTTATGGCCACCCTTTCACAGGGGACCTCCCTTGTGGAGTGAGACGTCAGAGATAAGTAAGCTGATTGATTTAAACTACAGTAGAAATTATAGACACACGTACAGTACTGTAAATGCATTGAGAAGAGTAACAAATTATACATAATGAAATGTAGTGGAGTAAAAGTACAAGTAATTCTCCTCAAACTTATTTAAGATAGTGAAGTTATAGTAAAAGTATATGAAAATATAAATACTTTTTAAATGTAGATACAGTATACTGAAAAAAGTTGCTCAAGTACTGTACTTGAGTAAAGTTATGTACTTGGTTACCTTTACACACCCCTGTTTACAATAAATGACCCAGGAATTTTAACCCCTCAAAAATTTTTTGCATACAGTAGGGTCACAGAGTATACATATCCATAGTACACGACCCCATTTGTACGTATCTGACCCCCCTGAATCGCCCTTACCTATTGTCAATTGTTTCACTACACTCAGGAGAGAGTGAACAGCTGAGATCCCCCGCTCTGTTCCCCATCCTCTGATCTGTGGGCTAAATCCCGCATACATAAGAAATATTAATTCCTCATATGTTTTTGACGTTATGGTAATTACTATTATTTTTTTACTTTTTGCACATTCTGTATGAGAGAGAGAGAGAGAGAGAGAGAGAGAGAGAGAGAGAGAGAGAGAGAGAGAGTCTCTCTTAAGTCACCAATACGGTACAGTAAAGCCTCGAACAACGACTATAATGTGTCCTCCAATATTCTAGTGTAAAGTGAACCATTGTATCACAAATCATTAATTACCATTAAAATAAAGTAATAATAATGAGATGTGTTCCCAAGTGTGACCTTTTCATATCTTTTGTGTGGCTTTTTACCCTCTTTTCCCCCAAAAACAATACAATTACCGGTAATGAAAATTGCAAACTACTTAATATTCTTTAAATAATGTTTCTGAATGCACCTTATACAATATAAATGAATAATAATATGGTCACACAAGAGGAGATGGGACGCCATTGTTTTCGTTAGTGTTTACAGCTGGGAGTCCGGGACGATAGTTCTACGTGAGAAAATGAAGGAAATAAACTGTTGTAGCTATAGTAAAATTAATGTAAAAAAATAATATACCCTCTATTATTAGGAGTGGACTTGCTTTTCCAGCACAGGTTATAGCTGCTAATTCTTCACCATTTTGGATTTCCTGTCTAAGGGTGCAGTTGTGATTTACTGGTTATGGAGAAATTGATCAATCTTTTCTGTTGACCATCCTCTCCATTGTGGGGAGGCATTTTGGCCTTTAAGGTTGGGTTTGATTCTTGGACAATAGGGACTTCCTAGAAGAGGCGTTAGGCCACAGTGGCCTTTGACTCTACACTGTTAATTCAGTGCCTAATCCCAACATTGAAGTGTAAGGCAAGGAGGTTATTCTTACAAGGCCATTCTCTTGATCTACCTTTCAGCAAAGCAATAATGATTAAGAGTATTCTATATGCAGGGGAATATTTGTGTTTTCTCTGAAATCCTAATTCATTGTTGACTTGTATGCCACCTGGGAACAATGATGTGATGAACTCATCTGCACTTTATAAAGGGAAGTTAACCATGTCTAGTGAAATGTATTTCTGTTGACTTCATAACTTCAGATTTATTCATTGATAAGGTAAATAAAATATTTCTCTTGCAGGCCATTTTTGGCAATCTTGGGAGGAGCAAAGGTAAAGGACAAGATTCAGCTGATTGAAAACATGTTGGACCGCGTTGACGAGATGATGATTGTCGGAGGCATGTCTTTCACATTCCTCAAGGTTATGAAAAATATGGAGGTTAGTTATTTACACTGGGTCTGGTTATTACATTTTATGTATTTAAATATTTGCTTGTTTTGCATCTAAATTTATATCAAATGAGATTTTAATGTTTTGAGTTCATGCACAGACCATATTGTTTTGTTTTTTAAATTTGTTTCCTTAACCCCTACGCCTCGGGCTAGGGTGCCGCTGGCTGTATCCCCCACACGGGGTAAATCGAGAAAAATGAACTTTTCCAAAAATAATTTTTATGCTTTTTAAATGATAAAACAATGAAAAAGAAGTAAGAAAAACTATATATTGACCCTCTAGAAACTTGCCTGGGGCCGCAGTGGTGAGGGAGACAATAGGACAGTGTTGTTTTGTCTGCTAGCGCTCGTGGCCACTCCTCACTTAGCGGCCATTTTCTGCATGGCTTTGTGCCCGGGATGGCCAGTAATGCATATATTTACCGATCATAATACTTATCTCCTATAAATAATTAATTTAAAATATTTCATTTGCATTATTTTTCATAAAAAGTGCTCGGCGACACATGCAGTCTGTCGCCAGGCTTTGTGTCTGTCTTTGTGTTTGGTAGAGCAAGTAATGCATATAAATAATTATTGGAATAATAATTCCACAAATAAATACATTTATAACATAATCATAGCATTATTTTCCAGTAATACTACACTACAATACAACTACACAACTTTTAGCAATATTATTTGATACCATGGACAAACAATGAAATGAAACAAACAAAAGTAGGTACTTACATTCAGGAAGCTTCCCTGTGGCTGAGCGTGTGGTGAGACACGCAAATAGTCACACAGGAACCTGGTACCCCAAGCTGGGCATTCAAACAATGCCGCAAAAAGGAGTGCATTCAGGAACGTCAACCGGGGCGTAGGGGTTAATACACAGGTGTGTGCATTGTGCTGTATTTTTGTACCTGTGACACTTAAGAGCCAGGTTTGTTAAAAGATGACTTAAATTATGTAGATTCATCGATATATATATATATATGCAGTGATATCACAGTTAGCCAGAATAATTGGTGCCAAGCTCTTCAGGAAATGAGAGATATCTGGGTATTGAGACGAATTTTTCATTCCCGGAAAAAATTGCACATTCCTGGAATTTTTCCAGGTATTGTACTGGGGAAAATTTTTTGAGGATATAAACTATGCAACTCTCACAAACAGACATTATCACATGTCCCCACAATATTTCCAGGTGCTGGGGAAAGTTTTCTGGGAGGTGTTGGGGAATGTTTTCCGAATGGCTAAACTAGGCATCTCACATGAACAAACATTTAGGTCATGGTCATGAGCAAAAATATTTATGGCTAGCAAAAAAGTGTATTGTATAGACTTTTATCCACAGCATCTGTTGAAATTGTGTTTGAGAGATGAATTTGATACCATAATGATCCTGAATAAATTCTCTACAAGATTTTTTTAAATAAAAGATCCTTAAACAAAATATTATGGCACAAGACAGCTCCTTCCCGACCTACGACCACCCGCACTTACGACCTGCCTCAGTCCGTAACAACCATCCTCATATATTCAACTGCCATAGTCGGTACCAAAATTTTTTTCAAATGACGCCCGCATTTTCTAAACCGAAACGTTTTCGTCCCGTACGAGAGCATCGCGTGGCTTGGGTCGCCGCGTGGGTACAGCACCCACGGCGTAGAGCGCTTAGTTGGTGTTTGGCTGTTGTTGTATCAGCAACTGATCGCGCTGTGTACTGACATTATTTTCTTATTTAATTGGCTTTAGAATGATTGGAAAGCATACAAGTGAGAGTGCTGGTAGTGCTCAGAAGAAAAGGAGACCGTCAATTACTTTCGAGACGAAAATGAAGATGATAATGCAGTATGAAAATGGAAAAACTGTAGCAACAATTTCACGCGACCTAAGCTTCTCGCACTCGACCATATCTACTATTTTGAAGGACAAGGAACATATTCGTGAGGTAGTGAAAGGATCAGCACTTATAAAGGGAACTATAATAACGAAGAAAGGGCAAGGTCCCATTCACGAGATGGAAAAATTACTTGTGATATGAATGGAAGACCAGATACAAAAGCGTGTACCCTTTAGCCTTCTAACCCTACAGACTAAGGCAAGAAACCTTTTCGAAAGCCTGAAGGAGCAGGCAGGAGATAAGTGCGAGCAAACCTTCACAGCAAGTCATGGGTGGTTTAACAGATTTAAGAACCGCTACAGTTTACATAATGTTAAGGTGAGTGGAGAGGCAGCTACTGCTGATGTTGTTGCTGCCGAAGCTTTTAAGGAGGAGCTAGATCGTGTGATTGTGGAAGGAAATTATTTGCCTTAGCAAATATTCAATGTCTAGAAAATACGCGCGTCATTTGATAAATTTTTTGGTACCGACTACGGCTGTAAATATCTTGGTGGTGGAAGTACCCGACTGAGGCAGTCGTGAAAAGTGCGAATTGGTGTGAATGCGTTGGTAGAGTAGATAAGTCAAGGCGTATATATATATATATATATATATATATATATATATATATATATATATATATATATATATATATATATATATATATATATATATATATATATATATATATATATATATATATATTCGATTCGCGAACTAAATAAGTTCCCGAAAATTAGATTCGTTCTTGAAAACGTCTGATAACGAATCATTGTTTCAATGGGTTTTGGAGTAGTGGTTCCAACTCACGAAAATTTTCTAAATTCAACAAAAATGGTAGAAAAGTTCACTTTTAAGTGTGTATGTAAGAAGGCTCCTGGATGATGATGATGATGATGGGATTTAGAATGGGGTGGAGGAGAAGAGGAAGAAGAAGGCATTGGGGTGGAAGAGAATCACATAGTTGCCTTCACCGCAAAATTTTAGCTCTCTTGGTTTAATTCAAGATTATTTTCTTTAAATCAATGCTGCACTGCATTATATATTGTCAATATATAAATATATTTCAAAATGACCAATAATTTGCTTGGAAACACAGAAAAAGCATTTAGTTGAAAGAGTCTCAAGCAGATGTTACCTCCAGTGAAAACAGAGAGACGGCGCTGTTTGCTGTGTTAAGAGGCTGGATGCAGCGCATTAAACTAGTCACTTTACCTTCAATTTCGTTTCAATAATTGTTAAAATGACTAAAAAATTGAATATTAAACTTTTAAAATTATTGAATAGTATAAACTTTTGATATTTACAAAAATATTAAGGAATTTAAGCCCTAGAACGATTAATGTATTGGCGGACTGATACTAAAGCTGGTTGCCCGGTCAGTGCAAGCTAAAACATGTTGAGGTCGGTTAAGTAAGAGGTTAGTTCATAGGAATTTTTTCGTTAACGGTGAAGATCCTTATAGGAAGCAGTTCGATTGTCGAGTATTTAACCGGGTGTTAGTTAAGCGAGGGTCACTGTATATATATACAGTTGTACCCCACTAAGCGATCAATTGACCGAGGTTAGCGTTAAGGAAATCCAGTAAGTGAACAACAGAACATATGGGATTAATTCCAATAGAAACGTGACCCCCCAAACTCCACTTTTTGAAGGCACATACCATGTTGTAGTAAATAACATCTTAATTTTATGATGGTTATGCACAATTAATACTTAAGAGAAATAGAAATACAGTCGCATGAGTTAATGTCCATTCAAATAATGGACTCAACTCTCCCACTCTCACACTACACTGCCGCTCTTCCCTCAGAGAAATTTTTGGGGAAAACCACTAAATTTTAATAATAATAAATGTCAAACTAAGTTAGGATAATACAAATTGACATTGCTGGATTCTTGTAAGACCAGGAATATTTTGAATATAAATGTCATATTTTTGCACAAAGATAACATAGTTACCTAGAGAAAAAATTTCAAAATTGTATGTTTAATGCAAAATATATAGTCTCTATAAATTCCAGCAATGTAAAATACTGACCGGGTAATTTGTATGAATTTTATGAGCTAAAACAAATATCTTCAGTTAATAAAAAAAAAATAATCTTCACTTCTCTGTCAATAAAGTACCCCACTTGCTCCCCCCTCTTCCAACCGCGCGGTCAGTCCCAACCCTCCCCCACCCCTCATCCTCCTTCGAGTTTTTACATTTAGTATTAAATATACCTCAGATTAAGTTAGGATAATATAATTGACATTGCTGGATTCCTTGTAAGACAGAATATTTTTGAATATAAATGTCATATATTTTGCACAAAAGATAACTTATAGTTACAGAAAAATTTTATCTAAAAATTGTATGTCTAATGCAAAAATATGAATGTTTATATTCAAAATGATCATCAAATTATAAAAATTCCAGCAATGTAAATTATATTCAGACCGGTAATTTGTATGAATTTTATGAGCTAAAACAAATATCTTCAGTTAATACAAAAAAATATTATTTCACGAGGGCAGATGGTGGTTGGTTCCTCCTCCCCCACCCCCCTGCCGTCCCAAGGAGATGTGGGGATATACCACTAAATTTAATAAATAATACCTCAAACTAAAGTTAGGATAATATAATGACATTGCTGGATTCCTGTAAGACCAGGAATATTTTGAATATAAATGTCATATATTTTGCTAAAGATAACATAGTTACTCTGAAAATTTTATCTAAAATTTGGAAGTCAGGCAGGGTGGTGGGGCAAATCTAAAATAGCGTCTCGAGCGGACACTCACGAGTATATGTGGAAAAAATCCGTGTTAAGTGAAAGTTCAGCTACAAAATTATGCGCAAAATCGTTAAGTAGTAAACCTCGTTAGGTGAAGTAATACTGTGTATATATATATATATATATATATATATATATATATATATATATATATATATATATATATATATATATATATATATATATATATATATATATATATATATATATATATATATATATATATATATATATATATATATATATATATATATAAAATCACATGGAAAATGGAAACAGATTACCTTGGCTTTAGTCTTTATTAAGACATCTTCAGGGCAACTGGATTACATGGAC